CACATGATCCTTCAGAAGTCATTCTAATATGCTGATTTGCTGCTCGAGTAACATTTAGAATCAGTGTTAACAAAAAGTTGTGCTGCTTAATTTAATTTTTTTTTTTTTTGTGGAAACTGTAAAAACAACATTGATTTGAAATATTTTATAACATAAATGTCTTTACTGTAACTTTTGATCAAATGAATATGTACTTACAAAATAAAAGTAAAGATTTCTTGAGTAAATATTACTGATCCTGATATCAGTACACAGCAGTGTTCTCAATAATAGTTTCAAAGTCATAATTTTGAAATTGTTACTGCATGTTTCTATAGGATATGGCAGTCAGCAGGCACATTTCGATGGCTAGTTCAATTTGACGTTTGTTTTCAGCTATCACCATAATTATCACTGAATGGAGGACCAAGTACAGGCGGGAAATGAACACACAGGACAACATTGCCAAGTCAAAAGCAGTGGACTCTCTTCTCAACTTTGAAACCGTAAGGGACAAACTGCCATAGCCAAGTTGCCCTAGGTTGGCCATGGAGTGTTGTTAACGGTATTAACATTGAAATATTACAAAATCTGTCTCTATTCAGGTAAAGTACTATAATTCAGAGGGTTTTGAAGTCAGGCGCTTTGAGGATGCTATCCTGAAATATCAGGTAATGGCGATCACTTAACATACTTGGACTTTATAAGCTGTTGAGTGGAGAGATGCTGAGTTGGATTCTCTTTGTGTTCAGGCATGTGAATGGAAGACCAACGCTTCCCTGGCTCTCCTGAACCAAACCCAGAACCTGATTATTGGATTTGGCCTGTTGGCCGGATCCCTGCTTTGTGCATACTATGTTACAGTGGACAAGTTTCAAGTACAGTAATCGCCACTCATAAAATTATGAAATCTTATTTTTATTTTTTTTTTATTGATCTTGAGCATATTTTGTTGTTCCTATAATAGGTTGGTGACTATGTTCTTTTTGGAACCTACATTATTCAGCTCTACACTCCACTCAACTGGTTTGGTACATATTATAGGTAAGCTTAGAGGAAGATTATCTGTGGCCAGATTCATTTATTATTTTTCTTGTTTATATATTTACAGTTTTGGCAATTACCAGATTTTTCTGTTTGTTTCTCCCTTGACTTATTTTGTTTTACTATTATGTTTTCACAGAATGATCCAAAGTGCATTTGTTGACATGGAGAGCATGTTTGAACTGCTAACCGAGGAAAAAGAGGTGAGTGGCCACTGTGGACACTGAGTCATTTAGTAGTCAAGCCAAAGGTAAATCTTTTATAAATCAGTAAATCTAAATCAGTTTGCACAGAACAAGTACTGGTCTAGTCAATTCCTAGGAGCCCCATTGCGGCCCCTCTGGACGTGCCAGTGTTGGTCTTGTTGACCAGTGAGTGTTGATTTATTGTCATGACCTCCTGCACTTACTCAAGTTACCCCTGTCCTTTGGGAATCCTCTCCTCAAAGTTACACAACCAACAGCCGGCCATTCCTCGACACTCCCAGTCCCTTTAGATTCTATTCATATGCAAATAATCTTACTAAAACCCTTATTTGATCTTCACATTTCTTTTTATATACTCCAAAAAGCTGTCGGAGATAATTTGCAAACTGATTCTTGAATTTGACTTGAAAGAGGCCTCAGTATTTTTGCCATGGTTTCAGTTTTAATGCATTCTTCAGGTTTGCTTAATTCACTGTCAGCCCAGTGCTATGCTTTTCTACGTGTGTCCTGTGGTACATGCCAAAATTGCTGTCTGCTGTAGGTAAAGGATGATGTGAATGCAGGAGACCTTTTGTTCACAGAAGGAAGGGTTGATTTCCAGAACGTGTGCTTTAGTTACACTGCTGGGTGAGTCATGCTAATGTCATTATGAACTTTTTGTTGTTGTTGGAGAACAGTGCTTTTGACATCTATATGTTTTTGAGTTAGCATCTTTGAAATTTTGTTTCCTATTTTTTGTCTACAGGAAAGAAATTCTCAGTGAAGTCTCATTCACAGTGATGCCTGGTCAGACAGTTGCACTGGTAAAATGACATCTAAATTGTTAATTTGTGAATACTGTGTACTAAAACGTTTATAGAATGAGAGAGTGCATAGGAGCAAGATGTTCATTCACCCCTGCTAATGTCTTATTTAACAGGTTGGTCCATCCGGATCAGGAAAAAGCACCATCATCCGTTTGCTTTTCCGTTTTTATGACGTGCAGGGTGGCTGCATCCTCATCGATGGTCAGGACATCTCTAAGGTCAGGAAACATGACAGCAGAGACACTTTTATGGTCCAATGTTAAAGCTTCTATAGAAAATTTTATAAAATTAACAAAGCAGAATCTGTTAGATTTTAAAGAAATACTTCAATTTTGTTAACATTTAGTTAGCATTCCAAATCCAAAAGACTTCTGTTCATCTTCAAAACACAAAATGAAGATATTATTAATATTCTCCTAATTTTTGTCCATCTGTTGAAAGTTTATGTAATTAACATTTGCAAGCTTCAAAACGTTAATTTTTCTGCGGGTCTTAAAAAGTCTTAATTCACCCTTTCACAATTTAAAGCCTTAAAAAGGTCTTCAATCAGAGCAGAGTCTTAAATTCAAAATCATGGGATTAAATTGCACTGCAAAAAAACAAAACAAAAATACAGAGAAGTGTATTCAAGAACAAATATCTAAACATCCTTAAATCAAGATACATTTACTTGAAATGCAAAATTACGATATGAAGTCTTGTTTTATGAGAAAATAAACAAAATTAAGTGAGTTTGTGTAAAACGAACAAATATCAGACAAAATATATGTCAGTGTTTTATGAAAATTACTTTTCTCTTTGAATCAAGTTCATCAAGTTTGAATCATATATTTGTTCTTGTTTTAATCAGTCAATTCATTTTGGTCAATTTCTCATATAAAAGATGTCTTATTTTGCCATTTTGCTTCTCAAGTATCTTGATTTAAGGATGTTTTGACACTGGAACATTTGCACTGGAAAACAAGATGAAAATATTGTGGAAGAACATCACCTTTTTGCTGTGTGATCAGAAGGTACAGTAAAAGTTATTGTTTTGAGCAGAGCTATTATGATGTATGATGATAAAAGTAATGGAGATCTATTGGAAGTACAAGACCATGTTGGTGTATTGCGTTCCCTTCAGTTTCCTTGCATTTTCTTTACTTGGTCATAAAGTCCTTAATTAATTTTTATAAAACCTACAGAAACCCTGAGAAAGACATTGTAAAATTAATCTATATGAATTTGACCGACTCATATGAATATGAAAAAGTTTGCAAACCAAAATTCTTTCCAGGATGTATGGGAGTGAGTAAACTGAGTTCACCTTTGCATCACAGGTCACATTGTCGTCTATATTCCTCTTCCTGTTTTAAAAGTTACCATGATTTTATGCATAAGAGAAGCTGCATATTTTATAGGTCTAGACTGCAGCTATAAAAAACATTTTAAGATTATACCAGCTATCTCTCTCAACCCCACCTGCATGTCTGCTGACCCCAAGGTTGAAAACCTCTAATGTAGGGTTGAAATAGTGACAGGGCTGATGTTAGACGGCAAGAGTGTCTGACTGAATGAAGAGGACGAAGTGCTTGCATTAAAATGTGAAAAATTAATTTCCTACCAAGCTTACATCAGACAGTCTGCTTGAAGAAATCGTCCATGAGTTTTAGTCACAATTTGATCTCGGAGTGCTCTTGGTAGTGCATTAATAGCATTGATAATGAATATTGTTGTTATTGGTGTCTTACATTTAAATGGTGAAGTTATTTTAAGCACATGCAGTGTCAAACTTTTATATCTTCTAAATCCATCAGACTTTAATGCTCTGCTCTCAGGAATACAAATGCTTGTACATCGTAGTGTGTAACAGTAGCCTGTTTGAGGTCATGTTATACCAGACCGTACAAGCTGTCACACTGTTAACTACAATGCAGTGACTCCAGTGATGTAAGATGCAACCATAGATCATATAACCTCCACTACACATGACAAGGTTCTAGGAATATGATTTAGTATTGCCTCTTCTTTCTAAGTAAACCTGCCCCCTGTGAATTAATCATAGTGAGAGAGACGTAAATAATGAATATGGAGCTGTAAGCTGCTTTTACTCCAGTGTCCTGGGGGAGACGGTGGCCTCTTACACAGCGCTGGTCTCTGTTCAGAGCTGCTTTAGGGTTTCCGCGGGTCTTAAAGTCAGCATTAAATCAAAATTGACAATTCTTATTTTTTGATGGAATACTGTAGTGTTTATTATAAATAATTTATCCGTGCACTTCATTATTTTTTTTTAAATTCATGTGCCCTCGTGATCTTTAATCAAAAACGTTAACCTCCCCTCCCCCTCAAAATGACTCCTCTACTCTTCCGGTCACGAGCTATGGCGCAAGGGCGGAGCTATCTGGAACTGCCAGCAGCTGCAGGGGCCAGGCACATGCAGAGGGGGGTGCGGTGGGTGCTTGAGCACTTGCCCCTTTTCTCCTTGATGCCCAAAGTGCCCTTTTGTCAAGGCAATTTTTATTTTTTATTTTGTAATTAAACGCTATTTTGTGAAGGCCTGCCCAATCTAACTACACTGAACAAAATTATAAACGCAACACTTTTGTTTTTGCCCCCATTTTTCATGAGCTGAACTCAAAGATCTAAGACTTTTTCTATGTACACAAAAGGCCTATTTCTCTCAAATATTGTTCACAAATCTGTCTAAATCTGTGTTAGTGAGCACCTCTCCTTTGCAGAGATAATCCATCCACCTCACAGGTGTGGCATATCAAGATGCTGATTAGACAGCATGATTATTGCACAGGTGTGGCTTAGGCATAAAACAGGCTTATACTGATTTTCTCATCCTCCGATTTATACTATCAATCCTGTTTTTATTATCATTATCATTCAAAAAATGAATAAATTCAGAACAGGATTAGAATATAATTCTATTTTAAATAAGATAAATATTTTTTTTTCTACAAGAACAACAGTAGTGTTTACAAGAGCAAAACCACCATACCCTGTAAATTCAATAATTAATGAATGAATGAATGAATGAATATCTTTATTGTCATTGTACAAGTACAATGAAATTGAATGCAATCATTTGGGTGCATAGTGTAACGAAAAAATAAATAAATCAATAATCTAATAAATAGTGCACAGATGACAGGATCTGTGACACAACATTACACACAGAAGACGTCTCACATTCAACAGTCCGTTACACGACTTATGTTCAACAGTACACAAAATGTTCAGTTAAATTATTGCAGTATTCAAAACCAGATAGTTTAAGCATGTGAACTGTTTTATCTCACATTCAACAGAGCTGCACGACTCATTCAATGTTGCACATAATGATCAGTTAAGTTATTGCAGTATTTAAAACAGATATGGCTTGGGATGTAAACTATTAATCTTACATTCAACAGAGATGAACATTTCATGTCTACAACACACATGATGTTTAGTTTACATTATTTGCAGTATTCAAAACAGAAATAGCTTTGGCATAAAAACTATTCCTTAATCTGTTTGTTTGGGTTTTTAGAACCCTGTACCGTCTGCCCGAAGGTAGCAATTCAAAAAGAGAATGTCCTGGGTGAGATGGATCCTTGAGAATTTTTTGAGCTTTCAAGAGGCAGCGGGAACTGTGTAACTCTTCCATAGAGGGGAGGGGACAACCGATTACCTTCTGGGCTGTGGTGATGATCCTCTGGAGAGCATGCCCTGGGTGAGATGGATCCTTGAGTATTTTTTGAGCTTTCAAGAGGCAACGGGAACTGTGTAACTCTTCCATAGAGGGGAGGGGACAACTATTATTAACAATAATAATAATAATAGGCCTAATATAATTCAGTTTCTAATTCCAGAGTGATTAAGTGGTGCAAAGAAAAATTTCTTTAACTTTTAAACTTAAAATGGTCTTTTCTGTTCAGTGATTCTTTTTCAAAACCGAGTCACGGCATTTGCTGCTATCAATACAGAAACATCTGTTTCAATACACGTCTTCGCAAGAAGCACAGCCCTATTAAAAGCCGTGCTCCATGTGCCCCTTTTATACTTTGAGCACCTGCCCCTCCAAAGGTCTC